ACAAGTTGATATGGAGACAAAAAATAGAAGAGTACACGCCCCCCGGATTGATACCGGGTGTTACCGAGTTTGTAACTCCTCTTTCTAAGTCAGAATTTGTACATAAATATTTAATGAAGTGGTTGTGTGGCCCCTCGGTCGAAATACTGTCCCTGACTCTTCGACCCCCTCACGCCCATGTAATAAGGTTTCTAAAAGTCGTACCAGTTAACTAGTCCCTTTAGATGAACAAAATTACTGACCAAACCAAACTAGTATGGAACATATTATATGTCATACCTATTTTCCTCGACTCCGTTTATTGTGTACACTTGGAAATAAATTCGCATGTTGCACTACTGTATCGGAGTTTGTTTACCTCCCGACATCGTGTGTTTAATCACAAAAGAGATATAATCCGGACACACCTTCAAACTGGGTAAACTTTTTCGTAGAGATTCTGACGATTCTCGTATCCTATTACACAAAGAAGCAATAATAACTACTCCTTTCACTAAATGGACATAATGCATATCACATCGGTTGATATTGTTGATATAGAAATTTTGTGAGTGGAAACTTGAACACACACCATTCGGACTCCCCCCTTCTACTCTGAGTGGACTGTTTCTCGGTATTTTCCCCTGCACAACACGGACGACGTTCTACCCTTTATTCTATTCCTTTGAACAACCAATCTCGTCCAAGCAGTTGTTCTGTGGCTTTCTCCACAGACCAAAGCAGTTTGATTTTCTCGTGAAAAACCAAAGAGGGGGTGCGAGCGGTGCTAGACCTCCGTTGGTCCACGGGTACCACAACCAGGGAAGTTTATTGCCATGGGAGACCGCCTTTAGTGCGTGTGTTGAGGTAGAGACACAAAATCATACTTTCGGACCACAAAAGGAACAACCGGAGAACAAAACTGAACGGCAAGACTCCTGGACAGAATGTGCCCCAATCTTAGACTCGGGCCTCATGGACCGTCTCACGAGCACTAATCCTCTCCCACTGCCATAAACATAAAAATTGGTAATTTCCGTATAATATCAATTGAACTACAGACCACAAGATAGGGAAGGGAAAAATGGCTTAAATGGGTCGAATAGTTTGCTGTCGCGCCTCTGTTCCACCCCAAATTTGTAGGGGATTTAAGAGGTTGTTATAGCGGCGGCCCTAGGACTCGAGGCTCCGACTAGGACATCGACACCAGCCACAGGACCTAGGAGATTAGGACTCATGACCTTACGACTCAGGACTGATAGCTCAGGCACCGACTTGAGAGAGACACCAGGACGGGACTGAGAGTGAGTATGATGAAGGGACTACGGGTGTCCTAACAACTGTAGGAGCGACCTAGTAGAGGGTAATATCTGTGTACGTAAAGGTTTGTTAAACCAGAAAGGTTGTAAACCAGAGTGTGGATTCCGCGCAGTCTCTACATAATAGAGAAACTAAATGTGTGCCGTAGATAACGTGCAGACAGAAGGACCCTCTCCCATAAGGGAGGGAGACAACGAGGAGAGAGACTCCAAAGAGGGTACAAGGGGAACATTTGACCCAAAGAGACCTTCTAAAAGCAACATGCGGGTACACTCCCAGATTTCCGGTCTTCACGGTTGGCGCGAGCTAGCGCCCCTCTAGGGTCAGCTAGCGCTCTAAAAGATTTTTATCTTGTTGTTATAAGTCAAAATAACCGATTAACGATTACTACATTGTATTAGAAGAACACTCTTATTACGGAACGTTGCGTAGTATTCGAAACACTACCCCCCTGGGTAACAGCCCACCGACCACCCGTCACCCGGTGATCAAGTGCACTGCAACAGGCACAGTGTCCTCACTGTCACGTGTTGTGTTCTGTGTTAATTACCTCTTCGTTTTTTGGGTTTTTATATATTAAAAGTGAGGCTCACCCTCCTACTAATAAACATAGTAAGGCTTAAGGTTTCAGGTAGACAGAGTAGACGTTTTACGCTTCGCACCGAAATAGGCTTCTTCCCATTAAAATCCTCGCGTAATAGTTTTGTCACGTGTTTTCGATGCTCCTGCCTTAAGTGAGGATTAAGACGGGATGCGAGGGTTTTCCCTCACCTGGACTTTCCTGTCGTTTACCGTGTCGAGGGTAAAAGTGGTTCCGGGTTGTTGTTCTCGTTCGAACGTGCCATCGTAGAATTAGCACAGTCAGTGCAAGAACGCTTTGTGTACTCAGACAAGTTCTGCGGACGTTTCAACACTTTCTTCGTAAGGCCTCCGGACGGCTGCGCGAAAACCCCTGCCATTTTTTATTGTCATCGTAAAGTTGTTCAAAATACTATATTATTTTTGAATTTCAGTCTATGGCAATAAATAGTCGTCACTCAAAATAAACAAACTTTAATACGTAATATATAATTTAACCATGTTTTTACCATATTCTTAGTTTGTAATTCTTAGACAAGACAAACTTAGTTAATTATCACGATAATAGTAAAGTCCAATTCTCAAATGCGGGGTCCCGGATCCCATGGACCCGGTCGTCTCCGAGTGGAGACATTACTTATTTGTGTGTTCCGTCTTACAAATTGAAAAACTATCGAGTTGACGTCCTAAATTAGACGTCCAAGCTTTCAAAAGCTTTAGCCTCTCCCCAAGGGACGGACGTCCGAACGTGGGAGTCCTGTCAAGGCCACATCCAGACGTGAAGAGTCCTGTTAGGCAAGTGACAGTCATGTCCTTCACTGCTAAGACCTGCTTGTGCAAAAAAGGGGCGGGGGAGGGCTGTTCGAACAAACTACCTTCAAAAGTTTAGTGTTACCTCCTGGTAGTGCCTCCACTACTCAGGCGGGTGTGTACGTGAAACAGCCCGGAACCAGTTCGGGAAAACTGGGGTGGTCGGACCAAGAGACTCCTGAATCGATAAAAAGCGAGTTTACTGTGGTACCTTCCCTTACATTGCCCTCCAACTTGTCCCCTGAGACGGGGCGGAAGTGCTTAATCCCAACCCATTAGCAAACTTTAAGGTGTAAGACTTAAGGCTAAGACTAAGATGAAAAGCTAAGGCCCAAGAATTAACCAAGAGTAAGGCAAGAAACTTTCCGTCCCATTATTTTTACTTGTACGAAGAAAGGTGGTTGTAAAAATTAAATTAACTTTTGAAAATGTGTCAATCCAAATCGTCATTATAAGTGTAATGTAGGTCAGACAATATAAGTGACACGATACATTGCACATTGGACTCTTTGGTGTTACTTCGATGTTGTCACGTTGTCAGGTTGAAAATTTCCTTTGGGGGGGGGGGGTAGGGGGTGTTAAATTTTTGTCAAACACAACTCTTTTGTTCGTTATAGACGGAAGAGTCCGATCCCTTCTTTACAAAACTTGTAAAAATTTCATTTTACGAAGTTAGACCACGTGAAATTCGTCTTAATGATCTCTGATCAAGATCCCCCATTTTTGGAGATTTGTGGGTATACTTACTTTCTAGCCAAATGTAAAATTATTAATTTATTCATACACTTGTCATTGTTTATTGGCTGGTTCGGTTATCTGTTTACGTACATTAGTACATGAAGATAAAAGACAACAAGTAAGTATTGGGAATAAAATGATAAATAAGTACGATAAAACAATAGAAGAGGTTCAAATTTTGTCTATACAGACCAAATGACAGGGATATCATATGTAACCCTTACTTAAAAAGTTTGGACAAATAGGGTTAGGGTTAATATTTTCCTCCACGGAACCTTATACCAAAATGTATTTAACACTAGTTTTGCAAACTCTAGCCGTGACTCTCATTGAATTTGATTTCATTGATAATGTTTGTGAGTCAGGAAATGGAGTGACTCGGACCTGAATAGACTGACCTCTCCTGAGCGGGAGGTGTAATAACATCTTTGTAGAAGATTATAGGCAATCTCGTCGATCGTGCGTTCTCACGATTATTGTTGTCGAGGGTGCGAGTGCCGGGATGTGTGCCACCGCACGGCAACTGTCAAGTTGCGAAGACGGGTAAAGTGCGTACTTGACCCCTACTGCAAGTCGTGGCTAAGGGCGGGCCGACTGAGCTGACGTCTTTCACGTGTCGTTACAAGATGCAAAAAAGCCAGCTACTCGCAGGGTTCAGTTTGAGGACCAAATACGTTTAGACGGGTTCTGTTCGCGATCGGTTAGTTTGAGCGGCACATACGACCCTCTCGTCTGGCGTCAAGTAAGGGGTATACGGTTTTTTATCTGCCTCTTTTATTAGTATCGCCATCCTCCTTAGTGGGCCACGAAAATACTAGTTAGGGACCAGGGATGGCCCTATGTTTGGCTCCTCGGTCCGTACCCTCCCTCCACCGTCTGCTGTCACCCAACTTTTGACCATCCAAACGCGGATAAACCCCTCGATTATCTAGGTGACATGAAGCAAACGCTTACCTGTCGATCGTCGTCGTGCATCAAATCCGGTGTACCTTACTAACACATTTTATCGGTCGGTCCTCCTGTAATTACAGTATTACAGAGTAGTGATATTTGGCACACTGTACATTTTGGAAAATACGTTAACTGGTCCTCTGCTCAAGTACACTCAATCAACAACCAGGCAACGAGCGTATTTGAGGCGGTTCGAGTTCTGGTGCGGTTCGCCGTGGCGTGCGGCGGCACACATCCACGGCAGTGACTAGTGTGCAACCGACACTGACGCCCGGCCCACGGTCTATTTCGAGTTGGAGGGGGTAAAAGTAGTGAATGTCACGGGTAGAATATCCCGTTTACTTGTTTCCACCATTGGGCCCTTATATTATCCCACAATGTAAATGCAATTAATACTTTACAACAAGTAGTTTCGGCTTTTCCAATCCTACTCGGTGGTTTGCGGTTTTGTAAACAAAAGGGAGGGTCTTCGACAGTCCGCGTAGCACATATATTTTTA